AGGAATTATCACAAGAGACTAAGCTAATTCATCGCTGTTTTGTGAAATTAATGCCAATCTTTGCTTTTCAGCTGAAACCGTCTATGATTTCCTGAAAATATTGAGCGATTCCGAGTCGAAGTAATTAATAAATGAACCGATCACCAAATCCGAAATTAGCTTTCATAACATCTGAAACTGGTTTTATTAATCGCAGAAATATACTATATAAAAACAAATTATACTTAGCTTTCAGGATTTACTTATTAAGCCATCTAATATTGATATGGCCAGTGAGACTTCGCCCGCTCCCTCAGAACATATTACAGATAATAACGAAGCCCAATCCAAAACCACAGATTCGGATTAAAAATTAATGTATCCCTGATGGTACTCCGGAACTAGAGAGCCCAAAAGACTTTTCATCTTTTTTAGCAAGTTAGGGATGGATAAAATAGGACAAGTAAAATCTTTCACCGCATTTATGATTTCGAAATTAACTGTTCGAAATGCCTAACCTATTATCAAACTTCTATTGTATCATAACTACATATCTTAATAAAGTTTCGATCTAACCATGTAGGTATTTGATTCTCGAGTATAACTCTTGAAAAGGGGCTTTGCTTCGATGGTTCGCATCACCGGTCAACTGGTGTTAGTTATATGCGATTAGGTAATATATATCAGAAAAATTGACAGCAAATATTTTCGCCCCGTACAGTATAAAAAATCATTGCACTTATCATCTGTCTATGATTCATACCTTTCGTGCAATCTAACTTCGCAAAATAAACAAACTAGGATTTGTTCACCTAAAGCAAATTAATCAATGTTAAAATATTAATGAATCACATCATCAGCAAGAATTACCTCTTTAAAATAGGTATCGATATAACGTGAATGAAAGGACACAGTGTAGTCCTGATGTTCTTTAAGAATATTAGCCTCAACAAGTTTATGAATCATATTGAGAGGTATAATGGTTTTAGCTTTCCGAATGTCAATATGATCTACTTCAATGAGCTTTATAAAAAATTCATGGTTTGCAGGGAGTTCCACTGTGTCCAAATCTCTCTTGATCTGTGTGAACATTTGCTCCTTGAATTCTGATAAAAGTAGGAATGTCAGATGAAAACAAGTTGTTTACGTCAAGGAACAAAAATTGCAACAAATTACATACTTTCAACCAAATTTTTAGGATTGACTCGATTTAATAATTGGACCTCCTCCAATAAAATAAACCGTTCACCCGTTAGATATTTCACTGCATCTTCGGCTTTTTTTTTATCAATACCAGAATCTTGCAGAAATTTCACGGCTTCTTCATCTGAGATATCACCAACTTCAAAAGGGGTGCTTGCCTGCGACCAGGCAGAGCGAGCTGTAAAGAATAGAAATTATATTTAATAAGAACTCAGCCATGTATATCAAAATATTAAAAATTATAACATCTCATAATTTGCGGAACCAGGCCTTCACTCGCAATAAATACAATGACAAGGGTGCCTTTGTCCGCACAGTCCTTTGCAAAATCTTGAAGTATCCTCAGAAATTTTGGGTCCTCCTTAGCAATGCGGTCTACTTGATCAAGAATCAAAACTATCGGGCGCTTGTATTTTTCATATAGTAATTCGCTGTGCGGAGAAGTTGCATGCTTAAAAGGTTCCAATTAGAGTATTCTGAATGACCGTCTTGTTCTACATGCCAGGTGGAGCCTTTGTGAGCATAGATGTGAAGAAAATTGTTATGAAGCCCACAAAAAGAATCACACGGTACCTTTCCTTATTGTATTGGTTGCCAACCGCACAATAATATCTCGAAGTTTGAATGGATATAACTCACAATCAAGCTATTTTGACAATTTCTTTGCAAATTCTTTCACATCTGAAGGACACTCAAAATGGATAACACCCTGTCAAGAAGAAATCGAATGTGAATAAAATCGAAAAGGAAAGAGAAAATTGAATAATTTACCTTTGGCTCTTGGAGATTCAAGATGGTATTTTGAACCAAGGTTGTTTTTCCTGTCCCATGTTCGCCCGAAATCAGAAAGTACTTTTGGAAAGAGAGTTGCAAAATTTCCTTCAGTGCATTTTCAAGATTCTCGCGTTTGACCAGTTTAGTTGGATTGAATTCCCGATCGATTTTTCCCTTCTTGAAAACATCCGCCATTTTTTTGTCCTGGACTCTGGGACTTTCATGGGTGAAGTACAAATAAGAAATCACAAGGCCAATGCCCATGGTATATAAAACTTTTTTGCTGGCTAACTAAGAGAAAAAAACGGTTAAAATGTTGATAAAAATTAGTAAAAAAACCCCAACGCACTTTCTTGGACGGGTCAGTCACCACGGTCTTGAATGAATTCCAATACTTTTTCAGTCCTTTTTCCGCT